ATTCTTCCGAGATGGTAAATTTTGTGCCGTTTTTTTATCGATTTTTGCAGGTTATAGCAATCAATGGCAAATTCCCAGGCCCCGTTCTTAATGTAACAACTAATTACAACGTTGTTGTAGATGTGAAGAACAAGTTGGATGAAGATGTCCTCATCACATGGTATGCTGTAGTACAGTGCATAAAACATTTGTTTTCTTGAAATTATATCTAGTTTTTGTCTCTTTATTTTTTTTTTTTCGGTTTTCTGTGAATGTAATTGATGTTGCTTTGGTGGCAGGTCTGGAATACAGATGCGCCGTGCTTCGTGGCAAGATGGGGTTTTGGGTACAAATTGCCCCATACCACCGAAGTGGAACTGGACCTACCAGTTTCAGGTCAAAGATCAGATCGGCAGCTTCTATTACTTCCCGTCACTGAATATGCAAAGGGCATCCGGTGGATTCGGTTCTTTTGTAGTAACGAATCGCGATATTATTCCACTGCCTTTCGCTATTCCTGATGGTGATATTGTCATTCTGATTGGTGATTGGTATACTCGCAACCACACGGTAGGTATAAAACCATATGGTGGGGTCTTTTTTTTTTTTTTTGGCTGTGCTGGACTTTAGACATGTTTTTATATTGCAATATCATTTAATGATTTGGTTGTGTATAAAACATTAGGCCCTACGCAAGGCCCTTGATAATGGAGAAGAGTTAGGCATGCCAGATGGAGTTCTTATCAATGGGAAGGGACCATACAGATACAACACCACACTTGTCCAAGATGGGATTGTACACGAGACAATTAACGTTGATCCCGGTAAATTTTTAGATATTCATTTGCTAGTTGATTAAATTAAATTACAATAAGGTAATTTTTTTCCCTGTGTTTCTTGATTTTCTGTCATGGTCTGGTGGTAATGCTAACTTTATCGTACCATTCTAATTAAGGTTAGATTGGCAGTTTGGCTTGTGCTTAATGTGATTTTTGAAAAATTGCAGGTAAAACGTACCGAATTAGGGTGCATAATGTCGGAGTGTCCACTTGTTTGAATTTCCGTATTCAGAGCCACAATTTGCTTTTGGCAGAAACAGAGGGCTATTACACATCCCAACAGAACTATACTAGCATGGATGTGCATGTTGGCCAGTCTTACTCTTTTCTCGTAACCATGGACCAAAACGCAAGCAGTGATTATTACATTGTGGCAAGTGCAAGATTTGTGAACGAATCACTCTGGCAGAGAGTAACCGGTGTGGCAGTGTTACATTATTCGAACTCAAAAGGCAAAGTGTCCGGTCCACTCCCTGACCCTCCAAACGATGCTTTCGACACAACATATTCACTAAATCAAGCCATGTCCATCAGGTTTGCGAGATTTTCTCTTCGTTTTATCAAGAATTAATCTTGTTATTAAATTTCTTTCTATACTTATGGGATGTGTTCTATGTTAATTTATCAGGCAAAATGTGTCAGCAAGTGGGGCCCGCCCGAACCCACAAGGTTCTTTCCATTACGGTTCAATAAACGTCACTGATGTTTACGTGCTCAAAAGTCTGCCTCCGTCGAAAATTGATGGAAAATTACATACTACTTATAACGGTATTTCATTTGTGAATCCCGATACACCGATAAAGCTCGCAGATGCATATAAAGTGAAGGGTGCTTATAAGCTCGATTTTCCTAGTAAGCCACTAGAAAGGGCGCCGAGCAGAGATAGATCTATCATAAATGCTACATACAAGGGATTTATAGAGATAATAGTGCAGAACAATGACACGGTTTTGCAGACATTTCACCTTGACGGTTATTCTTTCTTCGTGGTTGGGTAATAATAATAATCCTAAAATCCAAAGTCTAATTTAATTAGTGAAAGAATTAGCACGGTTTTGATTAATTAACATGTCGTTTTAATAATCTGAAGGATGGGTATTGGTGAATGGACCGAGAACAACAGAGGCTCGTACAATAGGTGGGATGCAATATCTCGCTCTACCGTGCAGGTACCCAAATTTTGTGGCCTTTTTAATTCTTGATTTTTCGATAACTTATAGCCCGAATCACGATTTTTTATACTTGTTTTATTCTTATTTTTTTTATGTAAAAAGGTTTTTGCTGGGGGGTGGACAGCAGTATT